TTACTAAGCTTTCTGATCTATAAGATTTTTTCCAAATAAAAATGAAAGAAAATGGCTTCCATACTTCACTTATAACACCATCTAGTTTTTAAAACTATGTGTACTTCTAAAGTTTATCATTTATTCTAATTTTTTGTCTACGGAAGACCTTCTATAACTTTCGTGGGGGGTAGCCATATGTGATTGGGTTATTAATAGTATATGAATTTCAAAATGTCAATAAGAGCCAAATTGGACGTCTGTGAAACTCTAGATCCTTTGGAGTATCTAGAATTGTTTTGCTAACGTCTCAGCCACCTGCTCCAACCCTGTCCCCCCCATGCACCAAGAACAAGGGGTGTACCACACACCCAGCCACATCAACATTTGTCTCTCTGTACCTTCAGTGTCAGCTACAGCCAGTCTAAAAGTGCAGTTCTGAAACATGAAACCTGCTAAGCACTAAATCAGATTTCTGGTTCAGAAAACACAAAAGTTACAGTGGTTTTGGCGGGAAAAAAAAGAACAAAGTTCTGAGAAGCTGATAGGACTTGTAAGCCCATAACTGAAATTGTGGTGGCACAGGTTCAAGGTGCAGAATTACTCATCCGCACAAGAGCACTGTTCCAAAGCAACCCTACTATGCACCTGACAGTTAGAACACACATTTAGTCCTATCAGCAATCTAAAAATGGATCCTAAGTCAATTAAAACTTAACATTTCCCTTCAAAACATTCTGGAGAGCTTATATTCTTAACTGAATGTGAATTACTCTTCACTTTTTGAACCAATAGTTTTTGTTTTTCAAAAGAGTAAAATTCTACTGTTACCAGGGCCATCTGGGTGTTTGTCGCAACTTATTGGCTAGTAACTCCTAGATTTTCAGCTCCTAGATGCCTTGGAGTCTCAACTGATTCCTGAATGAAACTGCAGGGAATAGCTGGTAGGAAAAGTCTTCACAGTTTGGAGACAGATGGCTGTCTTGCATCCGATAGACTCTGATTTTATACTCCCCATGAGTCCAAGGGATCTTGGATAACCTGCAGTTCACTAATTAATTCTCCCAGTTAGCATTTCTTGAACACCCACTGTGTGCTCAGTGCAGCGGGCATACCAAATGAATATGCTACAGCATCTGCCTTTCTGTGCAGCATAGCTTAAACGTGATTTCTGCCACAGCTCAGTGTAGACGCCAATTGCCAAGCCTGAAGTCTGCCCCTTAAATGGTTACCAGAATCTTAACATAACACAACTGCAACTACAATGTCTCCAGGCTCAACAGAAGCTGAAGAAAGGAGAAGGAAGCAGTTGTAGGAAAATGTTCCTAAAAAAGAAGTGTTGTGCAATGCCAACCACTGCCCTTGAGCTGATTTTGAAAGTTTTGGTTTTCATATTATTAACTCTAAGAAGATTTATTTTTATTTCTCATTAGCCCAACTGAAAAAAAAAAGCAACAGGAAATTTCTTTTAACTTGACTGAATGTTTGCAACCCATTTGTATTATAAATGTATTTAGAGAAGTAATAAAGTAATTGAAGTCTTAATTTGGGGCCATTCAGAGGATTGCTAGTTATTTCTAAGGATATTCCCAAATTTCAGGGTAGGAGTGGACTGGAAGGGAGAATGAATATAATATATATTTTATATCTTACAAAAATAATATTTTCCAGCTGCACTTTTAGGAGGAGCCTAGAGGCAATGCCAAATGAAACAAATAACATAGAGTGGCAGCCCTTACCCTAGTGAGAACCACTGTTTTAAAAAGTGAGACGACCTTGAATCCACCTAAAATCACAAAGAAAAGAATTTTTCAGCATCTCAGCTCATTTCCAGAATGAAAGTTTATCAGTATAACATGTGAAAAGAGCATTTTTTTTTTCTCCAGAGTCAGAGAAACCTGGATTTGAATCCCAGCTCTACTATGTACTCATTCAATGACCTTAGGCATGTTACTTAACCTGTTTGTGTTTCAGTTTCCTCACCTATAAAATGAGCCTAAAAGTACCTACCCCTAGGGATCATTGTACAGATTCAGTGAGATAACATATAGAAAGCTCTTGGCACCAAGTAGGTGTATGAAAAATGATAACGTTCCTCCCACCCATTTGTTTACCAAAATATGCAAGAGTTGAATTTTGCAGGGGTTTTGTTGTTGTTTTAAGAGAATAACTCTTAACACCTAGCAACTGTGTTTAGGAGACCAAAATTAACAGCACATAACCACAGTTTAATTCACAACCTTATTTTCACACTGAATTCTCATATCACTAAATCACATCTCTGCATAGCCATTGCCATCTGTCTACCGCACCTTTGACAGTACAGTTATACAAAGGACAGGATCATTTGGAGCACTCATCAAAAATTCTGACAAGTTTCAACTGATGAGTTGGTCACAATGATCATATCAAACAAGTTCATTTTTTATAAGGGAGAAGTCATGTTCTGCCTTTCCTTCTTAGGTGTATGACTTTAAAATGCAAAGCCAAATTTTTAAAAAGCAAAACATTCAATCAAGAACAGTGAGAAGTTACTCGTTGATTTAATAAGTATTTACTCAGCATCTGCAAGGTGCCTGGCACTGTGCTAGGCTCTAGGGATCCAGACAGACAGACAAGGGCTCTGCTCCCATGAGTCTTACACTCCAGTGACTTGAAAATTGACTCAAAGTCTTTACCCCTGAACACTGTTGGCGCTTCATGGTGCCAACATGACTTAAAACAAAAGGGACTAAGAACTAGGAAAGGAGTGATCCATGTATAATAAAAAGAATCTCATTTCCTTCTGTTAAGACTCTTTTTTCTTTTAGAGACAGGGTCTCACTCTGTCACCCAGGCTGGAGTGCGGTGGCATGATCATAGCTTACTTCAACCTCGAACTCCTGAGCTCAAGCAATCCTCCCACCTGAGCCTCCCGAGTAGCTAGGACTACAAGCGTGAGCCACCACCCCTGGCCTCTTGTGCTCAGATTTCTAATCCCGGTGGGCCCAATTAAAAATGAAGAGAATTCATTAAAGGCTATTCTGAATTCTGAGCTATTCTGAATTCCAAGTAAGTATTCAGCTATTAAAATATGAACAAAAAGTTCCACTGCCTTTGGATGAGCATTTTTTTTCCATGTGGAACCAATTTCTTGAAATATCCTCAAGAGTATCTCTGGAGGCTCACTGTTAAATGACACTTGAAACTTGAAAGCAGACCATAATTTAAGGATTTAAAATATGGAACTGCTTGAGGGGATTTAACATTCTAATCCCAGTGCCCCACAAACCTCAAACCCTAGATTCAGTTCTGTACTCAAAGACTCGGGAAGTCCTCTAGAGCTCAGCTTCCTCTTCTATAACATGAGAAAGACAATTGTACCTGCCAGAGTTGGCTGCACACTATAGCAAACAACTCAAAATCTCAGTGGCCTGACACAATAAAAGCTTATTTCTTGCTCACATCCAATGCTGGCTGGCCTGGTGGCCCTGTTCTTTCACACCAATCAAGGACCCAGGCTTTTGAATCATACGGTTCCGGCATCTTCTAGAGCCTTGTCCGCCTCTGCATTCAGTTGTCACATGAGGAAAGAGCGAAGATGTGGAGGACTACATGGCTTTGTTGTCTAGGCCAGGCCTGGATGCGGTTTCTATCCCTTCTGTCCACATTCCAATGGTCAAGACTCAGTCTTGTGGCTGCACCTGTCTGCAGGGAGGCTGGGGAATAAGTCTGTGTGTCCTGGAGGAAACAGAGTTTGGTGAACACGCAATAGACTTCACCACAGCACTTACTCTAGAAGGTTGTTTGGAGGATTAAGCGAGATAATAGATATAAGAACTCATGGAGGTTTCAGGATCAATGAATATTTGCTCTTGGCTATTATTACTATGCTTCTGAATAGGCTGAGGCCCATCTCCTCCACTCAGCTCATCCTGGAAGGAGCAGAGAAGGCCAAGTTGGGTCTCCTGTCTTTATGTTATCTGCAGAGATGACTTAAAAGAAGCTTCAAAGCTGTCCACACCCATCACCCCCTTTACCAGGCATCTTAATCTCAGTTCATTCTAGGTACAGCTCACATAATTGAGATGAGTGGGCAAGGAGAAGAGAGACAATCTTTTCATAGTGTATGCTCCCAAATAATACTGGTTATTTTTGGCTACCATTTCTCAGCATAAGCCCATTTACTATTAGATTATACCTAAACCGTATGACCTTAAACTCTGAAAGAAGCTGGGATTCACCAGATTGAATCCTTCAGCTCTGTTTTGCAAGCTGTTCCAGAGTGATTTCTTCTCAACACTGTACATCTGATCATGCCATCACCTGCTTAAAACCCTTCACTCTCTTTCCATTAATTTAGAATAAAATGCAAATGCCTCATGCAGGGTTGGTATCACCCATCCCATCCTCCCAGGATCAGCCCCTGCCTCCCTCTCCAACCACGTCTCACGTCGCTCTCCTCTCCTGCCTCTTTCATTCATTCACTCGACAGCTGATTCTCCAGCCTCTGTTCCAGGCACTGGAGATAGCAGCGGTAAGACAGACAACGTCCTTGCCCTGGTGGTGGGGATTGCGTTCTAGTGTGATGCTTTGAACATGCTCTCTGCCTCTGTGGCTTGGTGCTGGCTGTCGTCTTCCTCCAGTTCTTGTCACAGAGGCCTATTAAGAACAGAGTCTACCCCTTCGTTACTCTCTCTCACAGCCTGCTGTGTGCATTCTTCATAGCATTTATCAATCTGGAAAATCGTTTGGCTTTTTTATGTAAATTTATTGTGCCTTCCTTTACCACAGTGCAATTTTCATGAGGGTAAGGATGTTGTTTATCTTATTCACTTTTGTATGCTCAGCACCTGTTTGCCTGGCACAAAGCAGAAGCTCAATAAATATCTGTTGAATGGATGGATTAACAAATGAATGAACTCACAGGCAGCAACCAAGGCATCTGGGGATGGCCCCCAGGCCAGGGGAGAAAGCGTGAGCTCAAGTTTTCTTCCTGATGGCCTGAGCTCATGTCTGCCCCTCTGATTGTTCTTTTGCAGGGAATGACACCGCTCCACTGGGCGGCTTTCCACAACCAGCCTCAACACGCCCAGGTGCTGTTGAAGAAGGGAGCAGACCCCACCCTTGTGGATAAAGACTGTAAAACGGCTCTCCACTGGGCAGTCCAGGTGAGAAATTGGCCAGTGAACTAGTCTCAAGTTTAAATGGTGGAAAGCAGTGTTAACAATTTTCTGAGTATGTCAAACATGAAATATGGAGGTTTGGGCTGTATCACTTGTTGAGAAGATGCAGAGCAAAGTAGTTACAGAATATCAAGCAGAGCCTGCCTTGGCTGTCTCACACACACACACACACACACACACACACACACCTCTCACTCTCTCTCTCTCTCTCCATCTTGATGTTTGCTACTGGCTTACTGTGTCCCAGGGTAAACTTTCAAAGAATTAACAGGATAATCCCTTCAAAGTCTTTGAACCATGACTCTCTCTTCTTCCTTCCAAACCCTCCCATTCATTCCAGGTAATCCTGAATTCTGTGCTGAACAGTGAAAATAGTGGCTCATGGTCCTGCGTCACTATCACGTAGGGAGTCTGTGTCAGTGTACACAACCAAAGGAATCAGAACAGGCCCATGAAAACTACTGCCCAAAGAGGGTAAGACGGAGAATAAGGTGAAAGAATGATAATAGCTGACATGTGCAGAAGTGCTTTCTATTTTCAAGGGGAATGATTAACTGAAAGTTATCTATTCTCTCCTTCAAGGAGAGCAGAGCTGGGCATCCCTTCCACAAACTCGCTAGCCCACTCTGTCTTTGATGCCTAAGCACAGACACCCCCACAGTCGGCCCATAAGGGCACCTTTCGTAGCTGCTGTCAGGACCCTATGAAAGTTGTTTCTGCTGCCCTGACCTTGGTTTCACTCAGCGTTTCCATGTGCCAAGCACAGCAGAGGTGGGCACCTGGGACTTTCAGGGTTGACACGTGTGCCTGAGGTAAGGGGAAAACAGAAGTGATCTGGAAACTGCGCTGTTTTTCACCCTCCAACCTCGGCTTCCGTTACTCTGCACCAGGGCCAGCCCTGGCCAAAACGGTGAAGTGAGCAAAGCTTGTTTTTGTCACTTCCACCTGCCCTTAGCACTCTCCTGCATACTTTCAGTACCTAATTACCTGCCCTGCCCCCTCACTGCCAGCCTCTGCCCAGGGTCCTGTCCCCCAGGGCCGGCCTCTAGCTGGCCAGGTGTCACCCCTGCAGCAGTGGCCCCGGAGGAACCTGGCTGGGCTGCTAAGACGCATCCATGTGTTGGTTCTCAGCTGAGGTGAACGTGGCATCAGAATCGAGCACTTTCTGTATACTCACCCTCAACGCCCCTGCATGGTGATTCCCTAGATCTGGGATGCAGATACACTTTGAAAAACCTCCCTAGTGATTCTGACTGGCATGCCTCCTCTGCTACCCTGTCTCTACCCCAGCCCCAACCTAGAGCTGCTGCCCTAGACCTGGCCTTGCAATGGCATCACCAGCAGTGCTTGTGAAATGACAGATTCCCAGACCCGGCTCCAGACCTCCTGAGTTGGGTACTGTTGGGAGGGGGAACCCCTGTTCTAACTCAGGATAACCTCTAAGAGGCAGTTTGGCAAAATCATGAGAACAACATACTCAGCTCAGAAGATCTGAGTTTGCATTGATAGACCTAGGTTTGATCTGAGGCAAGTCACCACCACCTGCTTAGCTTAACCAATAAGTGTGTCTTTGGGGTATGGCTGAGACCATGCATCTTACAGTGCTATGTAATGTACTGCGTAATTGGAAGAGACGATCATTTGTATTGTGGGGCCTGATTTCCTACCTGAAAACTTAGTTATCATATCCATGCTTTCATATTCTTTCTCTCTACTAAATGATACAGCTTTTAACCCACTATATTGACTTCAGGCCTGCCTGCATGATAGAATGATCCAAGAGCTTTTAAAGAATACTGTTGCCCAGGCCCCAACTGTTACATTCTCATTAGGTTGTTCTAGGATGGAGACAAGGCATTAATATTTTTAAAAGCTACCTCCTTTCCCCAGGAGATTATAATGTACAACTAGGGTTGAGAATCACTAGAATAAATGAATTCATATTATTGGGTGCTAATACCTTACCTACTCCTACTGAAGATGTTTGCATTTTGACTGTGATTATATAATCATAACACCTCCCTCATTTATTTACTCAGTTGCTTAATAAATATTTCTTGAGCATCTACTATGTGTCTTGCAGTAGAGGTAAAAGAATTAACAAAATAGGTCTCTTCTAAAACCTCTACAAGTGTATGTAACATCACATGTGTGCTTGCTGTGTGAGCATGTTTGCATTCATTTTCCTGAGAAAAGAAATTTTTTCTTCGATTCCTCAATGAGGATCAGTGACTACCCACAAAAGGTTAAGAATCCCAGCTTTGGGGGAACTGTGCACCCTCTCCCTTCTCTGTGGTTAGCAGTAAAATTCAGAAGTGGTGTATTCTGCCATTTACACTGCAAAGACTGCGGGTAATTCCAAATGCCAGTTGAAATCATTATTACACTTGCTTTCTTTAGCCTTCTTGTTCATTTATAACACAGCACCAGCATTGTGCTCCTTTTAGAGTTTTTCCATACGAATGAGTCTATTTCCCATTGTCATTTATCCTTTTGCTGAACTTCCTGCTTTTCTCTTGGACCGTATGATGAGATCACATTTAAAGCTATACTACTTTGAAATAATAAGGCCTTCGTTTTTGACCAAAGTAACCAAAGCAGTAAAGACTCAAAACATGAGGTCTGTGAAATAAACTAAGTTGGACTTTCACTTCCATTTCTCAGGTTCCTTGGTAGTTGGTGGTCTCCTCCACTGGGCCCGTTGCCCTCTTTCACCCTCCCCTATCTGCTCAGGAGCCCCCGCTGCTCGGCTACATCTGGGGTAACACTAAGCAGAGGCCCTGTCTCTATTATAATCTCCCTAGATGGCATCCCAGGCCCTAGGGGCATGTTCTTGCCTATCTATGATGACACCAGCTTATCTGGAATCGACACAGGTATCTCTCTGCCTCGGCTCTCTTTCACTTCTCAACCCTGCAGAAGTTTAATCTTCAATCCTTTTTTTGCTCTCTCTTCCTCAGAAAGCTCATTGGTTTCTGTGGCCTCAGCTACCATATGTAATTCAGAAGATTCTCATATCAATGACTCCAGTTCTGACCTCTCTCTCCTGAACTCTAGATCCACATATGGGTGTCTCCCCACGGATGCCCACAGACACTTCCAACTCAACGTGCTCAAACTGAATCCATGGTCTCCCTCCCATCACATCTCCATCTTCCAGTAGCCCAAGCCAAAAAGACCTCCGCGTGGTCCATGAGCACTCCTTTCTTGTCCCCCATCACAGCCAGTTGCTTATCAAGACCTCTCAGTTCTACCTCCTTGGATCTCTCATCTCCGTCCCCTCCTTTCTATCCCCATTGTCCAGGTCAAGAGCCCAGCAGGAGAGAAATGGCACACTCAGGTGGGGGTAATAGAGGAGAGATTCATAAAGAAGCTATTTGTCACACAACCCCAGGTCTAGCAACAGCAGGTTGCCATTAGGACCTGTTGGCCTAAAGAGGCACAACAGGGAGTAGTTACTAAGACTCAGCAAAAGCCCTAGCTATAGGAGATGTCCCAAGAGAAACTGTAGCCTTTGGTGGAATAACCAAACTGTGACTTGGCAGGAAGAGAACTGAGGGATAAAAACTCCAATTTCTTTCCTCCTACATCCACCTCCTGTCAGTGCCACCCACTTGCCAAACCCAACAAGAAGCCAAAAGGCTAGGGAGCCCATTGGATGCAGTCCACACAGTGCTGAAAAATGGGGACAGGATGGAAAAAGATGGGAAGTAACCTGGAAGAGCAAATGAAGACAATTTAACACATCTCCCATTACTTCCTTAGATCAAGCTTGCACCGTCTCTCGCCTGAACAGTTGTAGTAGCTGATTTTCGTACTCTTAATCCTTCCCTTTTCCAATCTATTCTTATAGTGCTCTTCCTACAAATCACAAAGACATGTACCAACATACCTGTTATCATGCCAAAACAATTATGGTCACTGTTTGTTGTTGATTCAGAAACCTCCACTGAGTTCCGTTTTGTTGTAAAATGCAAACTCCTTAGGCTAGCACTGCCTGTTGTGAACAGCCACTTTCCACTCCCGGACCTTTCCTCTCCAGCCCATGTAGCCTTTGTTCCAACCACACTGGAATATTATTGATGCCCCCAATACATCATAGAGATACATTCTGTTCTCCCCCTTGGTCATGCTCTCCCAGTTGTGTGAAATATTTCTTTCTTCTTGCACTCCCTGCATCATCCCTTCTACCTGCAGAATTTCTGCTTATTCTTTCTTATTCCTCAAAGCCCCACTAAATATCACCTTCTCTGTTGAGCTCCCTTTCAGAACCATTCCCTCCATGTTACTTCTAGGACTGTGTTACAATTGTGGCGTGCCCATGTCTTCCCTTCTAGACTGTGTGCGTGAGGGCAATGTGCCTGATTCATCTAAATGTCTCTCAGAAGCCAGAACAGAACTTTGTGAATCTTAGGTCCCCAGAGAGGTGTTCATTGAATTCAGTCCAATAAACTTACCCATCTCAAGCCAATGGGGTTAATGGCTTATTGGGTTCTGTCTGTGGAAAATGTTTTATTTAAAGACTTTATTTTTTAGAGCAGTTTTAGGTTCCCAAAAAACTTGAGATAAAAGTACGGAATCATCACATATATCCCTTGCCCCCGCATGCATAGCCTCCCCTGTTATCAACGTCCCCCACCAGAGTGGTACATTTGCTATAATGGATAAACTTACACTGACAATATCGTTATCACCCAAAGTCCATAGTTGACATTGGGGTTCACTCTTAGTGTTGTACATTCTGTGGATTTGGACAAAGCCTTAAAAATAATGGCACATAGCCATCATTATAGAATCACACAGAGTAGTTTCACTGCCCTGAAAACTCTCCGTGCTCCCCTTATTCTTCCCATTTTCCCCTAACCCCTGGCAACCACTGATCTTCTTACTGTCACCATAGTTTTGCCTTTTCCAGAATGTCACATGGTTGGAAACATACAGTAAGTAGACTTTTCAGATTGGCTTCTTTCACTTAGGAATGTGCA